TGATTTAAGTTTTTTACTTAACATATACAATTTCGTCATACCTATATTGTACCATTTTGTAGCATATACTATTTATAATTTAAGACGCAAATTCGTGCAATGGAAAGTCCAAAGTCAAATACGAATTTATGTATATTATCGTCTAACTGCGCATTTCACATTTATGCGAGAGTGAAAAGTCATTCATGTTGAATTAATGATATTTTCAGCATTTAATTTCATATCGCACTTCGCTTATCTTCTACTTATGCATCGTATTTCCTAATGATAAGGAAAATATAATGTATAAAATGCATTTTATTTAACTTTTCGTTCCATGAGTTATTTAAATCGAAAAGATCAAATTACAAAATTGAACGAAATTTTTTAGGCTCTTCACCAAATTGCGACTTCACAATTTACAATCTTCCAACATATGTTAAGCCATCCATAATATTATGGATGGCTTAAGTTGTTTTTGGCATTTGCCATTTCACAAAATATAAGAATCCAGATAAATTTCTAATTTGCATATAAAAAAGACACTATATGATTTTTTATCTTCTTTCCCTAACCCTTTCCACTTGCGAATTGCAACATTAATATGAATTTTGCCGCCGGAGCGGAGGCATCCGAGTGGAAAGGGTTTTTCAAATTTCTATCACACACCTAATATATTTCAAATTCAATCTATTTATCATAGTTGCAAAATTATTTAAAATATATTATGCAAAAATATATAATAATTTATAATAATAATTTTATTTATGCATATAAGATATTAAAATGGAAAACATAAAATTGCAAAATTAATATGATTTTTTTATGTTAAAATGAAGCACGTATGTTGGGACCCTCAATTCGAGTTTTCGAGAAAATTGTTCAATCGATTTAAATTATTCAGAAAACATTCGATTTGTTTTCACAATGCTCTGAGCCTATAGTATAGACTTTTCTTAAAGGCAGATCCAGCTTTTTCGTAGATATAGAAGAAAAAGTAGGAAAAAAATCATTAAGGTGACAAAATAGACATTTTATATCAAATAAAATTTGATAATTTATCAAATTATCGGGTTATTGATATATTTTAAGTATAAGCAACTTTCGCATTGTTCATCAACTTACAATGTTTTGGATTGGCACTTCACATTTATTATTTTAATAATTGATTAGCTTTATCATATAGGTATATAAGACATTTAAAAAATTACTCATAAAGTAAAATAAATAGTTAATATTCACATCTAGTTATACAACTCTTTACAGTGATCAAGTGCAGGAAAAATATAGAGAGTAATTTTATTTATTAGAAGACCTAAAATAGGTTATTAATTTAATGTAACATCTTCCTTGCATTCCAAAAGTTTTATATTTCTATATTCATATTCATATTGCCATCATATCTAATATATTTTAAATTCAATTTATTCATTAAAGCTGCAAAATTATAAAGCACATTTTACCAAACGATAATACATAACAACTTAAATCTTGTTTGCCTTTTATCAAAAACTATTAGAAAAAATAGATGTATGTGTGTGTGTGCGGATACAAATTTTCGTCGACAATTTCGAGCCGATTTGAAAAATTCAAATAACATTCGTTTCGTAATGTTAAGGAGACGTGCGGATTAGTGAAAAAGTGACAAAAATGATAATTATGTTTATGAAAGCGTTGGATTTGAATTATTCAAAAAACATTTTATTTGTTTTGATAACATGAATAAGTGATTAAATTTCTGGTAAGGCAGGTCTAGTGGTTTCGGAGATCGAGTAAAAAAAGTAAAAAAATGCCATTTGAAAGTCAAAAATGATCATTAGACATATGCGCATCAAATTATCAGGTATTTCACAGAGATATTAATAATAAGTACAAATTCTGTTTACAATGTTTACTCGTTAGACTGCGATGCAGCGCTTACGCGCTTTAATATTTTGTCTCTACGCACTTAAAGCAGCGCGATTGCTTTGAAAAAAAGTTCAAAATTTTCAAACGTGTTCGTAATATAAAAAAACAAAATCAAATTTTTCAAAAGAGTCAGAAAAAATTTCAAAATTCTCAGAAATCTAATTACTTGAAAGTTTTCAAAATATTTCAAAGCTTTTTTAAAAAAAAAAATCTTCGGTACGGAAAGTTCCAGCAATTTGCCGTAACGCACGATGCCATACACGACTAGTTTTATCGTAATTTTATTATTTTTAGCAATGATTTTTGGCTACTGCAAAAAATGACCTAAAATGCATGTCGAATAGACGAGCAACGACCCTCTGTTTAACCAGCTTTATATAAGGGTTGAAGCCTATTTCAAGGCCGTCAACGAATCAATAAAATATGTCATCAAGCCAATACAACTATGATACTATTTTTATACCATATTTAAAAAAGTTTTTTATAAATCTAGTTGATCATTGCCATTGCCTTATATAAGATTATTAGTAAATTTGTCAATTTAGTAAATTTTATTAACTATACTAGAAAATACACTATCATGAATAGCATAATTAGTTTAGTAGAGAAACGTTGTTTATATAAATATCTGCAGACTGCACCTAGAGTATTTAGGACTTGTCTAAAATAAATGTTCTACTAACCGCAAACTAATGTTATATTCTAAAATTATATTAATGTGATTGTTGTTGTAATGTTATTAATAATGCACAATACCTATTTTTAGCTACATATTTATTTAATAAAAAATACCAGTAGGTAACAGTATTATTAAGCTATCTTACAATTTAATAATTTGGTTATTTGGAAATAAATTTTAGTTTGGTGATTCTAAGCAAGTTTAATTCAATAGATATTCATTCATTTAATTTAATATAATAGGTCAGAAAAAGAAGGACTTCAAACGAAACTATTAAATTGAAAATTAATAATAAATAGTAATAATTAAAATAAAAAGTATGTCTCAAGCCAAAATATCATTCCTGTTTAGGCTATGAGAATGGAAAATAGAAATACAGCAGTAATTCAATTATTCATATAAAAATACGTCGATACATTTTGAATGAAATGCCAAGTCAATATTACGAGTAAAAAATGAAATATATAATATAGACTATTAACATTTACAATATCAAGAATAAAATCAAGAAAAAAGGCTTATTTGTATAGAATTAATTTTTTTAGTAATCTATAAAGAATTTTTATAGTAAGATGTATTTAATATTTGCATTGCATATATTCACCAATATAAAAATATATTTGTTTCATTTCATAATTGTTTTATTTTATGATTGAATAATTAAATGAAATTTTTAAATTTAAGTTTGTAATTATTTCAATGTAACACAGTTTTTTAATAATTTAAAAAGCTCAACAAATTGAGGTTACTTAATATAACTTTATATATCATAATTATGAAAATACTGATTAATATTTATCCTAGAGCATAAATTAAATTTATGCATTATGAATCAAATTAAACATTTGTGTAGACGCCCGGCGGAATGTTTATTAAAAAAGTCAATTAATTGCGCTACATACGAACAATCTATTACCTTGAAGGATCAGATGTAATTTATTATTAAAATGGCTATATCAGACCTTTAAAATAAGTGATTATAAAAAAATAAGTGAGTTTGGTTATTAATAGTATATATTTGCGAGATGTTTAAGGTTCAAGTTGTGCGTACAGAATGATTAAATTTCTTATAACTAGTTAGCTTAGTACTTATACTAGAGTAGCAGAATTATTTTATTGGTGTCAGGTAGAAGGAGATAGATGTATGAAATGTGTGAGCCTCGAACATGCCGCCGCATTCGAAAAAACAATGAGCAATTAATTTACAGGTTTTTTCAATATTACTTCATGTAGTTATGGTATAATGATAAAATTATAGAGAAAAAAGATTAATAATATATTATATCTTTGAAATTGTAAGTGAAAACAATCAAAATATTTTAATTGAAGTTTAAAAAAAAAATATTCGATTATTTTCTTTTCGGGAATTAATACATTTATGTAACCTTTCTTATGTGCCTTTTGGAAAACAAACTTGAATTAATCAATATTTTTTTCCAAAACTGGATGATTATTCAATAACACTAATTAACAAATACGAATATTTTTCGTACGTAATATGTGTCAAATTTTTTGCAAATTATACTAATTTTAGAAAAATAAGATATAAAAACTTTTTAAGTGGAATGTCAGTAATAGCCCTGTATGTGTAAGAAATTAAGAACAGTTTTTGATGAAAAGCAAAAGCTATTTTTAAAATAAACAGTAGAAAATATTTATATAGATAAATCTTAATTCTTACTGATTAAGTACTATATTATTTTCACATTTCTGAAAGTTCAAGCAACTTGCCTTAAGGTAAAATGTCCCTTACAACACCTTATTTTATACAGTCAGCTTCAAAACATTATACTTGACATTTCAGAAGTTTTTTTTCTCAAAATTAGTAAACCAGTGAATGGTCACTGTTTTATACAAATGACGAATATACTCGTCAATTCACAAACTTCTAAAAATGTATATTATGTATGTGTGGACGTTAACTGCAATCAGTAGCTACTTACGAAACACTACAGAATGTGCATTTGCTTTGGCATAGATTCTGATTAGAATCGATAAAATGCGGGGCGAAATTTTAAACTTTGATGATTTTTTATAATTCAACCGGTTATCGTAGGCCTATAATATTTTAGTAAGATATAGTATAGTATAGTAAGTTATGAATAGTTTTTGAATTTTTAAAATTGGTTCAAAATTGGCGGGCAAAATTTTTTAACACATACGTTTTCCAAATTTGGTCACATTCGATTTTGAATGACTTGAAAAATCGAAAAAACAAAGTTAGCAAATCAGATTTTTGCGAAAACATGAACTTCTCTTTCGGGAAGTTAGTTAAATTCAAAATGAATTCAATACCCTGTATATACGCATGACGAATATACTCGTCAAATTTCTGCAACTTCTCCATGACGCGTATATGCGTCATGGGGAATTATATATGTTAAAATATATAATAAAAACCTCTAATAAATAAACAATATAAAAATGAATTAACCTTAAATTGCACATCTTCCAAATCCCACACCGGCCTGATGACTTCGAGTATCGATCGCGCACCTTTGACAACGTCATTTTCACTCACTGTAATGTTAATATGCAACACATTTTTCCCTGTATCGTCCATATCATTTGTTCGACATGAATTTCTCTTAAAAACCTCCTTTTCAACAATGTAACACTCATTTGCCTCAATCATAACTGACCGAAATAATAATAGAATAAAAATATAATAAAATTTAATAGCAATCGATAAATAGTAGTATCAAAATCTGGTGCAGTAAAATAAATAGTTGTAACTAAAATTGGGGTTGTTTTATTTACAATTGACTACTAGTAGCAAGTAAGAACACGAGTTTGTACGCTTGCTATATTTACATTAACAATTAACTAGAGTTTAAACACAATTGATCTATTATTATTGAATATATATTTATTTAACTAAATGTGTGAATTTGTAATAATTCGGCACTCCTTGACGAGTGTGAATTATCCAGTTTCGCGTCCTGCGTTCTCGATAGGCACCGCGATACTGACTAAGACGGCCGATATTGACAGAACACATGCCGGAGCGAAATAGTCTCGCATGTTAGGGTCCGTGCGCACGAGATATTTACACATTGACAAAAGCATACATATCAAAGTCACATCAGGGGGAGTCCATTAATCACGTGAGCGAGTTTTTAAGGATTTTTGGACCCCCCCTCCCCTTTGGTGACACATGGTGATATTCAAAATTACCCCCCCCTCCCCCACCAAACATCACGTGTATTTTTAGTTATGTGAAAAAACTGTAGAATTTTTGAATAAAGTAATTTTTTTTTAAAATGTGTGATTTGTTAAAAAATAATCTGTTAAAAATAAATACACGTAATATCTTCTTATACCCCTCCCTCTCCCACGTGATATTTCGTGATTTTTTGTTAAACCCCCCCTCCCCCTAAAAACCTCACGTGATTAATGGACGCCCCTCCATACAAATGTTTACTAACTTAAGGGGTTACATGAGTTTCACGGTTTCAGAAAATCGAAATTTTTTCATACTAAATTCTATAACATCTCTAGAATATTTTCCTAAATTTTCAAGTTGATCTGACTAATAGTTTTCGAGATACAGCCTTGAAAAGGTGAAGGCTCGAGAGCCACCTTTATTGTCTCTTAAAACTTTAAACGCCTTTTTCTCAAAACTATGTTTTCAAAGACGGTTGTCAAGATTTCTCGCGAAGTACTCAACCGGTCTTGATGAAATTTTACACAAGTCATCGAGATATCATTTACAAGGTCTTGAACGAAGGATTACAACTATTTAAATAAAATTGTCGAGAAATTTTCATCTAAATTTGCATTTTTTTATAAAAACGTCTGGCAAAAATCCACTTTTCATTTTTTTTTTTCGTCCAGTACCTAGTTTATTGTCTTTACTAAAACGCGTATTTTTATTTTTATTTGAAATGATCCTGAAAGAAGTTCTGCTGACAACGCGGAGGCACCTCTTTTCCGAGAGACTGCCGAAAATGGCGTAGTAATGACCGTCATTTTGATATTTTGAAAATTTTACAAAATGTTTATTAAATATGTATGTTTTAAATAAAAAAAATCATCAAAATATTTCATTTTTAAATGTAAAATAAATATTGAAAAAATGCCGTTTTTTGCCCGAGGAAACCCATGTAACCCCTTAAACACACATGTACATATGTCTGTGTATATATATGTATATATTAAATAATTTGCATCGATATGTTTTCTAAAGTCCAATTACTAACACAAACTTTTTATGATAACTCTTGAACTTATCAGTTCACTTATCAACTTGTGCAACAATGTGGTGATTCTTGATGAAATATACAAAATTATTATATAAAATATGTAGTTATTTACATATATAAAGATAAAATCTCTCCTTAACAGAAGGTTTTAAAGAGCCAATTAGATTAGCACATAGATAAAAGAAGAGTATATGGATTAACAAATAATTCATTATATAAAAACTTGTAATTATCTATGTTACAATGTAATCTATATGAGTAATTAACATATCTAATTATTTTTATACATAATAGAACTAACTATTTCAACATCATTACTACAAATGAGGGGCCGTGCATCAATCAAGTGAGACAAAAGGGGGGAGGTGTTTGACAAAAAATCACGAAATATCACAAGGAGGAGTAAGATATCACGTGTATTCATTTTCCACCTGATAAATTAAATAAAAAAAATCAAAATTAAACCATTTTTTTCGAATATACTAAAAATACACGTGATGTATGGTTCTGAAGAGGTGTTGATATAAAAATTACGAAATATCACCAAGGGAAAAGGAAAGGTCCAAAAATCCTTAAAAATCGATCACGTGAATAATGAACGCCCCATAAGAAATGCGTAATCTTAAATGCTTACGTTTCTTCTGATGCAATCTGAAGTCCAAAATTTTTCAAATTTCGTATGAGTATTAGGAATCAACCGTATCAATTATCCGGGATTCCTGAAACACAAAAATTTATGAAAATTTCTTAAATTTGAAATCTGGTTTTGAAAACAATCTACGTACAGTATTGCATTTGTATGTACAGTATTGTAATTTATTTGTTTAGAATAATTGCTCAAAGTAAACGAAGATTTTAAACCTCAGCGACTAGGTACTATGTTCAAATTTAAAACTTACCTGATAACTTCAAAAACCGAAGAAACTCCTGTCTTTTTTAAACATAAAGATATCAAACGCTTTCGAATATTGAACAGTCTGCTAAAACATCAAAGATCATTGATATCTTATTGAAAGCACTACAAACAAACTGAAATTCAAAAAAAAAACATTCTTCTAGGAAACTCACTGAATTGTTGCTGATAAAAGTCAATAATCTTGCATTCAAATTTTCACGAGGCAAAATCAGCTTTTTACTCCTGACCATAGATAAACAAGTATAAATGTTCTTGATCTTTGAGTTATAACTGCAACTGCTGAAAAAAGTTTTTCAAAATTAAAACTGATAAAAATCTAGAAGGGGTAGAACTAATGGATGATAATAATGAATGAAACTCTCTACATTTAATAAAAAAAATTGCTTTAGATTGATTTAAAAATTTAACAAAAATTCTATTGTTTTTTATGACTAATTTCAGTTTGTTTATTAAACTTGCCCTGAAGCAAAATGCTGCTAATGCATAATTGTTTAAGGTATCAATTACCAATAGTATTTTGAAGACAAAATAAACTGATATAAATTATATCTTCTATTCTGATTTGTCAACAAAAAATATTATTAATATGGTCCTAAAAAAATAATATAAGATGAACTATCAGTCATTTATTGTCTGCAGCTCGTGCGCGCGTGCCCTAAGCTACCACATGCGCAATGGGTCATCAACACAGTGGCATTTGCGTGCCTTTATAAATACTTTTAGCACGCCAAAACATTTGTGAGTTTTACGCGCTTTTATTTTCAGCGGATTTCTAACAAACTAATTTAATCTCACAAGTAGTTGCAAAAATTCTTCATATAAATAATAATAAATTTTAATTAAATATAAATATATATGCAAAATTCCACTAATTTAAATATACAGACAAAAAAAGCCTTGAAAACAAAGCACGTGTTCTTAAAACTATTTATAGTTTTGTTTACACGCTTCTTATATAGATAAGTAATCAGCTAAAAGTAAGGGAGTAGAATAGTTAAATTAAATGTATTCTGTGTTAAACTTGAAAGGTAACAAAATAAGATCAAAAATTAATTTTTGTTCCCAAGTAAAAATAGCCTTCCCCTGCACTGCCACATCGAATTAACCATCAGTTTTAGGGTAATTCTATTAAAATATTTATATTAAATATGGGTAGGCCAACCGTTGAGTTGCCTTGGTGGCGCAGTTAGAAGTACCATCTCAACAGCTCATAGTAATCCTACGTTCTGATTGTTAAAATGATAAATTATAAAAATTATAAAAATTTATTTTCTTTGTGCTCCCAATCGTTTATATAACTAAGCTATGCAAATTATAATTCTTCATTCAGTAATAGTAAGTAATAAGTTGGGAGTTTACAAAAAATAATGAAAATGATGCAAGTTCTTGCTATTCAAAATTGAGTAGAAAACATCGCTAAATTTGGAGGAAAGCCATTGCTCAGTGGCCAATCTTTGCCATTGCAACTACAAGGTTCTGAGTTCATATCCCGCATTTTGTGCAATCTGATATCAAGCAGTAATGTTACTCATTTTCCCTTGATATCCTCCGGAAAGTGCTGCAAAAAGTTAAAATATCATCAAAATGAGAAACCTAAAACAACCATTAGGTTGTGATTTAATAAAAAAATATATCTAAACTAGAATATTAAAATATTCTACACAACCTTTTCTAGAATATCAAAATTGCCGTTCAAACACAAACAAATGGAAAATTTAAAAATTCATTCTTTTTTTTTTTAAATCCAAGTTGAAGAGAAAACAAGGAACGCAAGTCAATAATGAATTATTTCAGACAATAGTATTATGTTTGTTCAAAAATTGTAAATAAATTATATATTTATATATTGCTTAAGCATGTTCCATACTACTAAAAAGATCAGAATTAATACATTAATCATTTTAAATAGTGAGTTATTTGTTAACAATTCTTTACACAAATTAATGAAATTAAAAATAAATAATTAATATAATAAATTATTAGCAAGATTATAGAGTTTGTTGAATTGAAATTAAAACGTAAATGAATAGATTTAAATTAGTTCCTTTCTCCTAATTTCTTATGTGTTCTGATTTTATTCGTTTTTATTAATTAAATTTATTATTATTAAGTAAACAAGTTGTTTGATTATATAAAATAAATAAATCAAATTGATAAAAATATTCCGATAATCATGTTTTTGTCTATTTACCACTAAACAGTTTCTATTAAATTTCCAGTAAGTGTATTACTTCCTTTTACAAATATTAGATAGATATTTTACTTACATTCTTCCTCCACTAACAGGATTAAAACTGATCATGATAAAAATAAGACTAGAATTATACCTATCAATTTCAATCGATTTCTTTTATCGATATTTTTTATTTATCAGTGTTACTCAAACAGTGGAGACAACACGTTTGTAAGTAAACAACGTAGTTAGATATGCTAATTTAAATCATTTGATTTTGATGTTAAATAAAGTGAATAAAAGTTAGCATATACATATAATATATACACACTATTGCGTTACATACGATAGTTTATTAGCAAAAAGAACTAGGTGCAAGTGATTGATTTTTAAGAATTTTGGACTATCTCCATTTTGGTGATTCAAAATTACCCACTCCCACCAAATATCATATGTATTTTTAGTATCTAATAAATCGTATTTTTTTTAAAATCTTTTTGCAAAATTTTGTAAATTTTGCAAAATGTTCTAAGCGCGCAATCCATTTTTCCAAACTTTGGGGTATTTTCATAATTTAATCACCAGTATTGACCAAAAACTAATCAGGATAGTTTGAAGTCGCCTAGAACTAATCATCGAATTTCACCAAATGGATTTTGTATTGAAATCACTA